GATAGATGGAACCAAGAAAATAGTATGGTGATGTCTTGGGTCTTGGTTTCCATGCTGCCACAGGTGAGAAAAACTTTTATGTGGGCTGAAACTGCTTGTGAAATATGGGAACAAGCAAAGTCCACCTATTCAGAGCAAAGACACTATGCCAAGATATACCAACTGCAAGCTGAATCGTCCACTTGTAAGCAAGGAGAAAGGAGTCTCTCGGTGTAATATTCGGATCTGACATCGATATGGAAAGAACTTGATCACTATCAGAATATTAACTGGAAGTGTGATGAGGACGCAAAGGCATACAAATCACTTGTATCTCAGCAACGGGTATTTGCCTTCCTCTTAGGGCTGAATCCTTCATATGAGTCCATCAAGTTGCAGATCTTGGGTAATAAAGACTTGCCATCAATTCAGGAGGTTTATTCCTTGGTTCAATCAGAAGAAAGTAGAAGAAATGTGATGAATTCTACAGAGGGGGAGCCAGTTGCTCTAGTTGTCCGGGGAAGTTCAGATACTAATGTTGGAGGTGGTTCTAAGAAGGGTGACTCCCAGAAGAGAAAAGATGATAAGAGTAAGCTTTGGTGCACTCACTGCCAGAAGGCAAGACACCATAAATACCTGCTGGGATCTCCATAGAAAACCTAAATGGGCATAGGATTTGGGTAAGAAGTCAACAACTGATCAGGGCAAGAAACCAAGTCAACTAATATGGCATCTCAAGAGATTGGTCCCATGGTAACTCAAGAAAGGCATCCCAATTCTGACCCTAAGGAAGAGATCATCAACTCCTTCCATGACCATTTGGAGTTATATGGTAGGACTCTTCGCCAGATGGATACTGGTCCTACTCCTTCTACCTCTTTTGCATTTGCTTTAGGTAACACTGCCACTGCCTTCCATGTGTCATCTCGTACCTCTGATTCCCCTTGGGTAATCGACTCTGGAGCCTTAAACCACATGACCGGTAAGTCAAATTTATTTCAGGCATACAATCTTCTCTCTGGGAGAGATAAAGTGAGACTAGCTGATGGCTCTTTCTCCACCATAGCCAGCCAAGGAACCATATCTCTTCCACTCGGCCTTACCCTTTCTAACGTACTACATGTTCCTAAGTTACCTATAAATCTACTTTCCATTAGTAGTATTATTCACTCCTTGAACTGTTCAGTTACTTTCTATCCGTCTTCATGTGTGTTTCAGGATTTGGCCTCGGGGAAGACGATTGGTAGAGGAAGCATGGTGGATGGCCTCTATGTGTTGGAGAATAAAGCAGGTCTTGTGGCTACAGAGTCTTTGAGTTCATCCAGTGAGAGTCAAGCCTATTTATGGCATAGTCGTCTTGGTCATCTTTCTTTTGAGTCATTAAAAGTTATGTTTCCAAAGTTGTTTGARTCTTTGTCAGTGAGTCAGTTGCAGTGTCAGACATGTCAATTGAGTAAACATTGTAGAAGCTCTTTTCCTTTGAGAAATAAAAGATCTGAATTTCTGTTTCATATTGTTTATTCTGATGTTTGGGGCCCTGTTACTCTACCTCCTGAGGCTGGATATAAGTACTTCATTACCTTGATCGATGATTACTCTAGATACACCTGGGTTTACACTATGCGATCTAGAGAGGAAGTGCCTAAAATTGTGAAAGACTTTCAACGCATGGTGTTCACTCAGTTCCAAACTGAATTCCATATTTTCCAATCGGACAATTAAAAGGAATACTTCCATAGTGATCTCACATAATTCTTTGCTTCGAGTGGATCACTTCACTGAAGCTCTTGTGCTAGGACACATCAACAAAATGGTGTTGCTGAAAGAAAAAACCGTCATCTTTTTGAAGTAGCTCATGACTTGTTAATCCATATGAATGTTCCAAAGCGCTTTTGGATGGATGTTGTTCTGTGTGCTACGTACATCATCAACCGTATGCCCTCTCGGTTACTAGAGTATAAGGCCCCACATTAGCTTTTGTTTACTACAGCTCCGTTGTTCCCCATTCCAATGCGTGTTTTTTGGTGTCGTTGCTTTGTTCATAACTTGTCACCTACTCGGGGTAAACTTGATCCTCGTGCTATTCCTTGTGTTTTCCTTGGTTACCCTCTATCTCAGAAGTGGTACCGTTGCTATGATCCCATCTCTCGTAAGTACTATGTCTCAATAGATGTGTCCTTCTTTGAGAATCAACCTTTCTTCTCGGTTTCTCCTCAGGGAGAGAGTAGGGTTGAGGAGAAACAGGTTCAAACTCAACTACCTCCTCTACCTGACCCTCCTCCATTCCGTGTCTTTCTTGCCGCCACAAAAGCCAGCAGAGTTCAAGAGCCGTGGAACCTGACACTGTGCAACCAGCATCATCGGCTTCACCGGAGGTTGATCCTTCCCATCAGCCAGGTACACTTGCTTCTATTGATATGCCTGCTCCTCTCAATGTTGATTCCCCTGCCATAATGATCTTGATGTTCCTATTGCCAAGAGAAAGGGTGTTAAATCTTGTACCACTAACCATCCTATCTCTCACTTTGTGTCCTATGATCATATTTCATCTTCATATCGTGCATTCCTCTCCTCTGTTGATAGTATCC